AGACCTCAAGGTCTAACCTTCATTTTGGTGTTTTGAAAATGTCCATTACAAGTCGGGCACAATCAGACGATTAGGGGAATGGATAATTATGAAGATTTTATGAATTGCTTGCATGTGGAGTTTATGATGATATATAAATTTTCTACTTGAATACTTGTTATGTATACAAGTTTAGTACAGAGCATATATGGAAAAAAAATTGGTAGCTACTTTTGTAATGTAGCTTTTGTAGATATTGAGACCAAATATATAAATTATATTTCTTGATATATGAAATTTACGGTTATATGCAAATATGGATTTGGGGTGTTACAAGTTTGGTATGAGAACCTGAGTTTAAGAGATTTAGGTATTCAGTATGATGCTTAAAATAAACTGTATTATTTGCATATTAAGGCCCCCTGACATATGTAGAACCTTTGAAATAAATATGATGGGTTAAAAGAACAATATGTAAGATAAATTCAAATTACAACTGGTCAATGTAATCATCGGTTTACAGGTACATATTTGTGCTTGGATGCCTTATTATATTTGGGAATGTGAAATGTTCTCTTTATCCCTCCAGCCTGGAAGGAAAGATCTTTCCTTTTTGGGAAGCGTTAAGAATAAAGAAATTGTTAGAGTTATCATTTATCTCTAGTACCAATACATTTGATTGTGCAAATTTTCAGATGGCAAGTCACTCTAGAAGGTCTGAAAGGATCGCCCTCACAAGCCCAGACGAGAGAGAAAGTTCACCTAAGAATATTCTTGAAAATCTATCAGTGGGTCGAGGTAGAGGGAGAGGCCGGGGAAGAAATGATTAAATTGAGAAATACTTTAACTTCCATTATGGGAGTACCGACCAGGGTGGAAACAAAACGAGTTGAGATTAATCCGCAAGTTCAAATAGCAAACACTAGAGGGGATGACATCAAGATGTTTCTAACGTGTAAATCCCAACTTTTTCCAAAGAAAGAGATCCAATAAAAACAATGTGTTTGTTGAAGGAAAAAGAATCAATTTTCAACACAAGTGTTCTTACGAAGATAGGGTCAGATTTGTCATGTCAATGCTTAAGTCAAATGATTTATATTGGTAGGATGTTGAATCTTTGTCAAAACCCAATATTTTACAAACTATGTCTTGGATGGAATTTGTTGATTGATTCAGGGAATAATTTTGGCCGAAAAAAGTAATAAGACAATTGGAAGAGGAATTCTTGAAATTAGAACAAAGCAACCAAACAGTAAGGGAGTATACAGAAAAGTTCATTGAACACTCCCGTTTTGCCGAACACTACATTTCATCAAAATCTCGAAAGGTTGAGAGGTACATTTGAGGATTAAAGCCTTCGATTTAAGAATTTGTGATTGCAATGGATCCTTCAACATTCCCATTGGCAGTAGACGCAACAGAAACAACCGAAAGAAGTAAGAGCCGACAGGGGAAATGGGAAGGGTCTTCGAGTGAGTATAGAAGACCTAAATTTATAAAGACAGATAATCGTCGGTTCAACGATTCAATGAAAGACCATGTCAGAGATGTCAACGTGTCCACCAAAGTGACTGTAATTTTGAGCAATCTAGTGCTACAAAATACAAATATAGGGAATCGGGGCCTATGTTCAGAAATTTTGAGATTCCCAACGTTGGAATTATGTAGGCATATGCAGTTTTTGTGTAAATAAAGTGACATATGAATCCTTGAAGAAATAGTGTAACATTGGATAGAAAAAAAAACCTCTTAATTCTTCCTCTCTATTCAGTTTTTGAGGTGATTTGCACTTTTGTTTATTTGAGGCGTCATTCAATAAGAGAAATATGATATGAGTTTTTGTTAATGTAAGTATAGTATTTTTGTCTTTTAATTGGAGATATTCACACTAAAATTGGATCGGAGATATTCACATTAAAGTTGAAATTATGTAGGCATATAGAGTTTTTGTGTGTGAATAAAGTGACATATGAATCCTTGAAGAAATAGTGTAACATTGTTTAAGAAAAAAAAAACTCTCAATTATTTCTCTCTATTCAGTTTTTGAGGTGATTTGCACTTTTGTTTATTTGAGGCATCATTCAATAAGAGAAATATGATATGAGTTTTTGTTAATATAAGTATATTTTGATACTACTGTGTTACATCTCTGATCGACCACACAAACGACCTAAGTGTGATACCCAAATACATATAAGATGCATTGTGATACCACTGTAGTATCACCGGAGGACGGGCGACGGAGAGAGAAGAGATGAGAGTTTTAAAATATCTAACATGTTATTGCATTAAAATTTTAATTCAAAAATTACCAAAATTATAAATTTTCTAATTTATCTATTGATTTGTGGTTAAGATTGGACCTCACGGTTACCACAAACTAATTAGTTTTCATTTGATTAAGCCCATATATATATATATATATATATATATACTATATTATAAAGAATTTGACAAAAACTCTTAAAAACCATTTTTTATGCATGAAGTACTGTTTATTGATGCATGTTACTTAAATTTCAAGATTACAATTAGTTTTGCGTAAGTACAACTTATTAAAGTTTCATTTTTAAAATTCGTGTAACTAACTGCAGATAGTCAAATACAGGATAAACATTCGTTTTAAATATAGAAAATCTAAAATATAATTAAGATAATCATTGAGTTCTAACTTCTGTTTAATTATTATCTTTATAAAAAAAAATTATATTTTTAAACCAAAAATAAATTATTTTGTTATTAAATTATAATAAAATTTAAATTAGAGAAGTTACACCCAAAAGACGGGAACTATTAAATAGTAAATTTAATACTAATATCGATTTATTTTTTTCAAATTTATATTTCATTTAAAAATAAAAACATTATCACAGAAAATCGTATTACATCGATAGGGACAAAGAATAAAAACTAAACATTAAAATCGAGATTTATCTCGTTGCATTGCGCGAGTATCATTCTATTATATATATATATATATATATATATATATATATATAGGGTTGGGTTCACGTGAGACCAGCCTGTTTTTGTGAGACCCGTTAGACCAGCTTTTTACACTTGAAACTTCACAGCAAAAATGCTGTGAAGGTTAAAAAAAGTCGAACCTTCACAGCAAAGACACTGTGAAGGTTACCTTCACAGCATTTTGCTGTGAAGTTTCAAGTGTAAAAAGTTGGTCTCACGTGATCTCAAGTCTATATATATATATAACAATTGTAATTAATTGAAATTTGAGATCTTGACTTAGTGGGCTTTGCAGATAATGATTAAGCATTTAATCTACCCAAACATCTAAAACAAAAAGGAATCAAGAGAAGATCTTATCAAGATAATCATATTTGTTTTGATAGATAATATGTTTTTCGAGCACTTAATTGAACCGGTTTGGGTCACATCTAAAGAAATAGAAGCAGATAAAATTCGTTATTAATTTGTTTCATCAATTTATTTTTGGCCAACGTTTAACACGTGGGGATGTTTTCATATCGAATGTAAGCCACAATTAAATGTTGCCAGGTATTGATGTTTTTCATTTCTTGGAATTTCTAAAACGACTTAATTTATTTATCGTAGATCGTAATTAAATTATATATATATATATATATATATATATATATATATATATATATATATAGGGT